TATATATATATATATATATATATATATATATATATATATATATATATATATATATATATATATATATATATATATGTTAAAAACAAAAAACAAAAACAAAAAAAAAATGTGACAAAATCGTTAGAATTGTGCGCCATCATAATCAATCATAATCTCACCGACATATTTCAATAAAACTCTTAAAAATATATAATATGTAGACATGCATTACATAAAAATAAGAGAAGAAAAAATATGACATGATCGTGTCGTTACGACCGCTATTGATAGGTTTGAAAGAAACAGTCCCTTAGAAATTCTGAAAATCGTCTCGGTCTCATTTCGTTTTTATCTCGCGTAATTGGACGTAAATACAAACGTGACTATGGGACGCGGGCGGAGGGAAGTTGCGATGACACCTACTTGGAATCTAAAGATACGCAGATCAATGATGCCAATCAAGTTGATTCGATTGAGAGATGAGACCACGGCGATGGAAAAGCGCGCGCGGCCGACGCGGGGAGATCTTGTGGCGATCGATATCTCCCTGTTGCCGCCCGCCCGGGACTCTCACGGAGGACAACGGCACGCGGAAGCATCGTCTCGCCACTCCCGGTCGTGTCGTGCGTATCTCACCTGGTCGATCGGTAATCCTATGAAATCCGCGAGCCAGGAGAAGGTGCGAAAGCCGTCATAGTAGTCCACAGCCGATGCCATGGTCAACGATCGGAAATGGTCCAATGTCGCGGTCGCGTGATTAGTCGCAGGATTCGCGCGATGAAAGACACGAAGATTAAAGAGAAACAAAGACAGACGCGAAAGTGTCGGCGGACGAGCAGCGGCGAAACGTCAGCCGCGATGCAACTTAATGTTGACACCCGGCAGATACGCGTACGCAATGCAATCGACGGCGCGACGACGACACGAACGTACGCGCGATCAAGTGACTACAACCGAAACCGGAATGCCCGCCGACGCTGCCGCCGTCGCCGCCGCTACATACCGGCATTCGGCGGAAGATACTCGTGGTTATTCGCCTATGTTCGCGTCGCACCACGCAATTGCCGCCGACCAATCACCGTGAGCGTGACCGAACAAAGAGGTGGCGTGAGTGCGCAGATTGTCACTTCGGGAGATATCGATACCGTTGTCGGACGATCGATTGTTGTGATTGATTGTGCGATAGGTGGAATTCGAAAATGCAAAACCGAAATGCGGAAAAGGGCGAGAAAAAGTGAACTGTTTGAATGATATTTGAATGTTCTTAGCGATACGATAAGGAAATGTTGAAATTAATTGTAATCAATTATTTTGTATCGCTAATTATGTAGAACGGTATCTTAATAAGCTGTAATTTATACTCAATTACTTGATCTGAGGGTATACTTCTTCTTTTCCCTTGTGAACGACCTCGCACACTTATTGTAATTGATAATATTAGTAAAATAGGTTAAGTAATAACTAATAATAAAGGGTGATAAAAGACAATCTTCCTCTTTAATGTATCATTAAATTTTCGATTAATTGTCAAGGGAAAAAGATGGTTTTCCGAGCATTTTATAAGTATACTCAAACGATCTGTTCTTTCATACAAATATCTTTTGATTTGAAAATGGCATGTAAAAATTTTTAGCATGTTTTATCGCTTCTAACGTCATTAGTTCTGCAGTAATGGGACCAGGAGCTTTAAGTTGTTTGCATAAGTAAATAAATATACTGTCCGAAGAATTTGATCATTGAAAAATACTTCACGTGACTTTTTTGAATGCTTTTATTTCGTGTATTGCGATACGTTTAGATATATTTGAAAAATAACTTACATTCGATCTTGTGTGATTGCACAGGTACTATTTCTCTTAAATACAACATTTCTCGCAATACATACAGTATTTACACGCGTGCCGCAAAGTATATTCTTGAGCTATATAATTACACGTGCAGTTCTCACGTGCCTCCAAACATCGTCTACGAAGAAAGCTTGCAGACAAATTAAGTTTCAGCGACTTATTTGCTATCGAAGTACATGCAACAATCGCATTCTTTATAGCAGGTTCGACAAATATATTCATATAGAGTACATTAATGGAGTATTAATAAAACATTTTTCATTAATAACAAAATGTTATAGTAGTACTACATAGCAATGTTATTAATGAATTTAATAACTTCGAGTCCATATAATCAGTCACCATAAATGTTCAGTATTTACACTGTACATTATTTAAAAGATTTAAAACATTTTACATAATTCATTAAGTTTAAAAGTTTTTTTCTACAATTTTCAATATTGAATATTATAATTTACTAATTAATATCATATATGAGAAGACCAAAGTATGCAGCAACTCGAAAAGAAAATTATAGGCTAATTGATGCTCAGTAGCATATATATGTAAACAATATTGTCTTGCTAGTTACTACTAAATCTATCACTTCTGTATAAATTCTTTCTGTTAAAATTAGGCTATTAAAAAGTTAATTTAAATGAAACCTGTCCTATATTTCATTGCTGTATATGTTGTTTTAGTAATTTTTCAACATAAGCGAGGTAGTTGCATAATGAAAAACCGAAGTCTGGCGTTCAGATCCTTTGATGAATTTGGAGCTATTTTTCTTTAGTAAAAACATGGTTGAGAACTCTATATATAATTATATTTTTCATCAATATAAATTATATTTTAAAATATATTATATTATATATATTATATAATTATAAATATGTATTTATATTATATATTGTAAATATATATTATATATTAAATTATATATATTATATTATATATATATAAATTATATATATATATATATATATATATATATATATATATATATATCATATATTGTACATGTATAATTATATAAAATATATATAATTTATTTTTTATTAATAAGTTACTTAAAATGTTACTCATTATATTAAAATTTTATTTGGTTATATAAACAAAGTCCTCTTTTATATTGTTATGATTTATATTTAGATCAATTTGACAAAATGTTTATCGATAATTTCTGGGCAATCTCTGTATTATACATAAGATCACAAAATTTATTGAGTTTAATCACTTTTGTTTTCACTTTTATCTTAAATCTTTCACTTTTATTTTAATATTAAATTATTTAAATTAGTAATATTAACTAAGTAAGTATATCAACCAATTTTTACTGAGGAAAAATTAAGTTCCAATTTGGTAAAGAATATAAAACTAGAAAGTAGTAGCGCGACTTTTGATACGCGCTGCATCTCGTATATTATTGCTTTACTTGATCTTTATTTTATGTAATTTAAGTTTAAACCCAAGTAGTTCTGAAAGTATTCCTGAGAGTGCTGACAACAATACTACCTTAGTAATGGTGTAAAGGTACGGATTAGCTGAGAGTCCCGAGATCTTAAACGGGCTCTCCAGTTCCTGCAAAGCATGGATTAATAAGTTTTTTCTCTCTATCGTTAAAATTAAATTCATAATATAAACGAATACCTTTATCAAATCAGCCGCTAATTTCAGTACGCTATTCGCAACCATCAGTTCTTCCTTCTTATGTGGTTTTTGCTCAATTTGCAAGTACAAATTAATCTAAAAGTCGTATCGGAATAAATTAAGCTATAAGGTTTGGAATTACAAACACAAGCACATCGTAATAAAATTTACCTGTTCAGTTATTAAAACTGATAAATTCCTATATTTCTTGTTAATCTTCGTCCCTAGTGTCATAAATCGTAAAATAAATATTCCAAGAGAGAAGCTCCAAAATAAAGCTTCAACATTGTAGCGTGAATGTAAACTTTCGAGATCCTGAAATAAAATTTATTATTGTTAAAAGAACAGAAACGTACCAAAGATACATAACACAAATATATGTGAAATATTCTTACTTTAATCAATTCGAGACTCACAAATGATAGCAATAATATTGTAACAATAAATACTGCTGATACGATTACATCTACAGATCGTTGTGGACCTCTCCGCTATAAACCGAAATATACGCAGCGTGAGAAATGTAAATTTATTCTCTAGGCTTACAAACAATCAATAATTAATGTTCTTACCTTCAGGTAAGACCTAACGCTCAACCATGTCTTTATGTTACGCACTTTGTTTAGTCGGAAATGTGGTAAATCAGACTTTCGCGCGCGTCTGGATGATGTTAAGTGAGAGAACAATTTAGCGTACAAAAGTCTCTGCTTATACGTACGTTCCGCTACCGCAAGCAAAAAGAACAAAAAACACGACAGCACAAATCGCTCGAACGTTGAGATAAGCACCACTGTTCGTTCCCTGAAAAAGATATCATCGTTTTAGAGAATCATTAATATCCTTAAGTATTTAGATAAGAATATGTTCTCACCAAAATATGTTTCCAAACGCTACACCAATCACTCTACATAAGACATCAGTGTACGTTTCTAGATTCACTTGAATCATGTCACTCGGTAGTAGACTTACGGACACGTTGCTAACATTATCCGACCCTATATGATCGCTCAGTCGTTTTATTGACGGTATTAGACATAGCGCGACGCTTAGTATCAAACCGCCATAAAAGTAATTCATACTTTCCGGCATTGATTCGACTCTAGCAATGATCGCTGAACTAATGTCCAACACCGACAACTCGGCTTTCTTGATATCACGCCGCGTCCAAATGGTACATGAAACTAAACAGTACGACCCGTATTAGACTTTGTCATCTACGCCCGTTTATTGTGCAATATATGTCTGATGATAGGTACTAACCGCGATCGGACGATGTACAAGTGGAATTAAGTAATATCGACGGCGGTAGTTCGAATTCCCAGGAAAAAGGATGCTCTACGAATTCGCTGTAATTGAGATTGGTCTCGCTTGGCACGTCAGACTCTCCAAGTTCTGAGCTGTAATCGTTTAGTGTTTCGCGAAAAATTTATTCAACTTTAGAGATATATGAGAAATACTATATAAAAGTGAATTATGAGAAATATTGTAGAAAGATGTTTTTTCTTCATATTTCCTTGATATAATAATGATATAGTGATATATTCAAATCACACCTATAACTGCACTCGTCGCTGTTCGTTGTAACTCCCATCCATTCTGTAGCAGATGTTGTCGCCTCAGTGAGATGATGCGTTGTAGCTTCCTCACACTCGCCCTCTTCTTCGCTTTCGCATTGCTGTCGTCCATTTCGCATTGCTCCCTCTCTCAATCCCAATAACTTTGATGGCACATCTTTATGCTTGAATTGACAAGATTCATAGAAACGACAGATTAATATAAGATGCGTTAAATTCGACCGTTTTAGGTATAGTTCCTCTTGAGTAAGAAAAATTTTAAGAAAAAATCGTAAAAAAGACACAAGTGCGTTTGTAGATAAATAATTTGTACAAGAAATTTCAGAGTTAAATCTAGATACATAAATGACATACGATAACTTACTAGATCATTTTGAATACCACTTGTGTTATCCGTAAAGTTGCCATCTTTTTTCAATGGATCGGGTGCTGCGTGGAAATTGGAAAACGATGATTTAGCTATTACTCCATTTTACCTTTCCAACAAAGATTAAAGCGTGTTAGCGGTTCAGAATGCAAACGAAAACGAATTAAAATACCCTTCAATCATATTTTTATACAGGATTATGTGAGTCACGAAATCGGAAGATCCATAACAATGTGCTTTTAAACTTAGAAAGAATTATGTGTTTATTGCACATTGATAGTACATTCGCGATGAACTTGATATATAGCAAGTAGAAAAATCATAATTAATTTTGCAAGATCGTTTGATCGACTACAGGCTACGTTACAAGCGTGTACTTGTAAGTCAAACCTGAGTGCTTTGGTGGGAGTGGAATTTGCTGACTAGGGCCATCTTCCAACCACAACATACAGTTGTGATTTTCAGCTTGACGTGCTACTCTTTCTTGGGATCTGTTTCTTTGCACCATTGCCCGTCCCATCACTCTATCATTATCACTAGAAACATTACCGTTTAGACTCTCAAAGCCATCGTCATCTTGATGTATATTTGGTACATGTTCTTCTGGCAAAGCACCTGTTTTACACAAGGAAAGATATTAGGTAACAAGACTAGATAAAAAGATGATAAAAATTTGCATAAATTACTAAAATTAAATCATTCTTACCTGGTTGTTCGCGACTAGTTGAAGTTTCATTTGTGGAATTGGAATTTTCTGCTGTTGTACTTATTGATTCTTTATCATACACTATTTGAGCACTGGCTTCCACCGTAACAGGTTCTTGAGATTGACTGCCAGACAAAGAATTCTCAATCATTACTTTCTTCGCGAATCTTACAGCAGTAAGTACTTCTTCATTTCCTACATTTGATTTATCAGAAGCTATATCTTGAGAAGATTTTGTATCCTTATGTATACCTATAATGAAGATATGTGTTACAAAACATAATCATTTCTTGAATTCTTTTACTCACTTACGTAAATTAAGTCTAGGTCTTGACTTTCCACTTCTGCCTCTGACATGTCGAGAACGTCTTGTTATTCGTTGTCTGGATTGATTAGATGTCATTGTAGGACCTGAATGTGTTGACACAATGTGGGAATGAACAATGCACAGAATAAACATCATAATAATAGGTATTAATACTTCCGACATTGAGACAATCTGCAAATAGACATGACAGTCAACAAACACATAGCACAATACAAAAAGTTTTATAAAATCAACAATTTTTTTCTCATACTTCTGCCTCGTTTTCCCTGTTTGCATAAATGTAATACAGGAAGATATTGACCACTTGTAAGCTGTACAATAATAAAAAAAGCACAAAGATGCGATAACTTGTTTGCTGTATCCACCACTTTTTATACAATGGAAGAAACAAGAGTCGTTGAAATGCTAGGCAAGCTACTGTCGACAAGCCATGCTTCGGTTTGGCCTTTGGAAATGAAGATCCTATATATATTGATATCACAGATGAATATACATATCAAAGAAACACTAAAATAATACTCTATGTATGGCTATTAGTATCTATTTAGCGTACCACGAACGAGATCAACATCAATCAGTTCTGTTTTGAGCTTTGCAGTTCTCATGGGAACATGTGTGAGCCCACCAAGAATATGTTGCTCTATAGTTCTTTCCCATTGCTGTTTATCATATGTACCAATCTTTTTTTGATACCTGATAGAATTGATTTTTTAATTATTGTGATAACCGTCTTAAGTTCAACTTTTTATTTACTATATAAGAAAATTTATTTTTTATTACTCTTAAAATATCTTAAAGTAGTAAATTAAATTGAGATCATACTTTTGTTGCCAGCTGGATTTTTTAACTAAAAGATCTAGCTGACAACAAACATTAGATTTTTAATCATATAGAATATATTTAAAGTCTTTAAAAATTCATTCGACCCAATCAGAAACCCTCACCAATATATAAGATCGTTGAATTTCATCTCCGTCAATCGCATTATCGGAGTAGCTTGCAATAACAATGCTCGTCAGCTGTGACGGAAGTACAGCTGTCTACAGATGACGGGACTACGATTCTGCACTGATTTTCACACGAGAAATTAAAAGGCAACTGTAAATCACGTCATACGCACTTACGATATCAAGAGAATGTTGAACAATGACTCTGTTTTTATTCAACACTTAAATATGCAAAATTACTTTAATAATTTCACGTCATTCACATCGAGGAATATGTCAGAATAATTGAGAAACTGTAAGTGAAACGATTCCAGTATAACAAAGCACAATCCATGGACGGACTACATCTGAGCATATCATACGAGATTACACACTTGATGAGATAAAAGAGGGTAACGACGTGCTATCTCGCAACAGTCCTAAAACTATATCTGAATATAATGGAACATAACGCATACTGTCAACTAGGTCAGGGGACATAGCAGCTCAGGCTACGAGGAGGAGGGGGGAGAGGCTACAACAAATCGGATATTTCCGGTTTGATTCGGTTTCATTCGGTTCGCGCCATCTTGTAACATTCCTTTCCGTTTGGATTCAAGAGCTGTCCGGACAAATTTGCACAGCATCCTGAATTGTGCGGATAATTATTCAATTCATGGTATTTTATCGTTTTATATTATATTACATCAAAAACTATATATTATTTTCTTATATTATATGTAAGACATATAATGATTCGTGCGCGGCACGTGAATATTTTTACGATATTTCGGAAGAACGAAACATGCACGAATGATACGGATGAAAATGGCTTCACACTTGGCCTTACTAAATAATCAAGTTTATCTTAATCTGTACTATATTTCATCGTATTGTAAATTATATAACATTTTATTGTATGTTTTATGTAACGATTTATGAAAATCGTTACAAGATTTCGAAAAGTAGAAATATGCATAGATAATGCGCATATAGATGATCGAGCACACGCTTTGCATGGAAAACGTACGGAGCGCCATCTCCCTTCTCCTACCACGCTACTACGGAGAAGTGCGCATCTACGGAAACGTTACATTTTCCTCTTTTGCATCATGGAAAAATCTTGATACGATTGCATTTCAATATGGCGAACCGCGACAAAGGACGCAGAAAGTGGGGAGGATATTCACAAGGTATTTTAACAAGAATGTAATTATTTTGCGATTCCGAATGAACAATGTCGTGTTGTCGCTGATATTTTTGTGCGTCTAACTTCGGGTCGAGTTTCTAATCACCCTTCGCGACTTTGTCGAGCTGATGTGCCGAAAGCTAACCTCTCTAAACAAGTTAACCTAAAAAGCACACTAAGCATCGCGATGTCGCGTTACTTTACGAAGTTTACCATCGCGTGTATTCAATCCAGAACTAAGGACAGATTTTGTTTCACGAAGTGAAGCTGATACTGGTTAAGATTTTGATTTGACGACATCCTGTTTTTCTGAAAAGAAACGCTTAGAACATTCCAGTGTAGTCAAGAGTATCAACACAAACGCTTTACGTTATCGTACTGTGGTGCTGTTTATCTATAAAAGTTGACATTTTTGCCACTTGAATGTTCTAATCTAACAGTATCTGCTAAGAAAATCATAATTTATTTGTAAAACTTCCCAGATATGAAGGACACAAGTTTAACTCGTTTTTCACTTCTCTTATGCTAATATTCTTATCTATACATTCAATATTGTGTACAATACTGAGCAATTTTCTGAATATATAACGTGGAAAATGCTGTTTTAGTATTGTAACATTGCTAACTTATAATGATGTATTTAAACAAAGTATAATACATATGTAAAGTATTTAACTTAGCATAAACTTTCTCAAAGTAGATTATATGATTGATCAATGTTGAAATAAATATATAAAATAATTCA